AAAATTTTAAGTGGAGAGCATCTCTTGACAAGACTCAAGCATCAGACTTACCAGGGAACCTACCAGCAAATCCTAACTCCGTGGATCTTGAGGAGGGGCCAACTATCTCTGCTTTCATAAGTTCCTTAAGTGAGCCTCTCGTGCACTCCCACTTAAGAGCTCAGTGGAGCCAAAGAAATGAGACGCTGTACAGAGCAGACTTTATATGACTGTGTAGAAAGGTCTTTGGGGTGGGGGAGATGTATCGGAGGGGTCTTACATGTGTGTTGAGAGGGCATGGGGAAGTGAAAAAGGAATTATAGTGAGCTTTCCAGTCTCCTGAAGTCATGCCAGGTGGGGCCGGACACCACAGGGACTGGCCGTCCCCGCACAGCCCCTCTGGTCTTTATTCTGAACAACTGAATGTCAAAGGTCAGTGTGAGACTGAGTGTCGCCAGCTTCAAGTTTCAGTTAGTTTGACTGCCCAGAGCTTCCTCCTGGGTGGCATTCAAATCTACAACCACTAGAGTTAAACCTCTTTTTCTTGTTTTTGTATCGCTTCTCACAGATCCATAGCCACTAGGGACTGTGACCTCCTGTGCTCTGGCCCCAGCCAGAATCCTGCCCTTGAAAGGAGGACTCCCTGTGCCTCCTGTCAGGTGACTGAAGGCCCTGTCCCTGGCCACCGTCCCAGCAGGCATGGAGACCTACAAAGTCCTCATGCCCTTTCGTTACTCCCTCTTCTTCTGTTCTTGCTCAGTCGCTTTTGTTCACTTGGCTGTGAGTTCCCAGCCCCGATTTCTCTTCAGAGAGCATGATAAGCCAGGCATCAGAAAAACATCAGAAGCAGCCAAGGGCTGTCTCCTGGTGGGGCTACAATGCATTTCACTAAGCAAACATCACCTTTGGCAAGATGCCCTTTGGTTGTCATAACAACTGGGAGAGCTTGTGTCTCAGGGGCATGTGGTGCCCTCTTTCTGGATGCCTAAGGTCCTTTGCCCCACTTTCTTTCCCAGGTTCTTTCAATGGGCTTGCAGCAGCTTGGCGCCATCTCGCTTTAACTATTCTATTTAACTTTAACTATTCTTGAGTGGCTTTGTCTTAATCAGCAAAAAAAATCTGCTTAGCTATCAAAGAGCTAGATCAAACTAATCCTCTCCTCAAAACTCGCTGACCCCCTTCTCTCTCAGAGCCATATTGTTACCATAATCTACAGGTGCTTTTAATCTGGCCTCAGTTTCCTCACTTGTCTCAGCTTCCACCACACTCTTAACATCAGGCACACTGGTCTTGTCACCTCAGACCCTTTGTACAAGCTGCTGTCCCCTCTGCCTTGATTTCTACATGTTTGTTATTCCTTCAAGTCTTTACTCAAATATCCCCTCCTCAGAGAAGCCCCCTGACCAGCCTACCTAATGGGGCAGCACTCCACCCTTTACCTGGCTTACTTTTTCCTCATAACACATTTCACCCCTGACATTATATCATGGACTTGATGTTTTTGTTGTTTAAATGCCCACCTTCCCTAGCAGACTGCCCCTGGACAGGGGTGGACCACCGTGGATGCTCAGAAATATTTGCTACATAAAGGAAGAAGCAACTAGCCTTGGAGTCAAAGCCTGGCTCTGCTATTTGTGGGTTTACAGCATTGCAAGTCACCCTGAACCTGGGTCTCCCCATCTAGAAAATGGAGATGATAATATCGCCAGCTAGAGTAAAGAATGAATGAGTAGCCTCTGAGTGGGACATCGACATGCCCCTCAGAAGGCACCTGATATCATCTGCCACTTTTGCTTCTGCTCCATGAGGCACGGTCTCCTTACCCTACGCTCCTGGACACCCCACTCATTTCCAGGGCATCTGTCATCACCAGGGGGCAAGAGGTCCCAGCAAAGGCATCTGTCATCACCAGAGATCCCAGCAAAGGCAGTCACAATGGGACTAGAGAAGAGGCCTCTTCTGCAAAGGGGCTCTACACCCCCACTGGGGACATTCAAGCTTTGATATAGAAAACCAGGCAGTTTTCAGCCTCCCCACCACCCTCTTCCCCCATCAGATTCTAGAGATCCTGGACCTAGCAGGCCTGCCTCTGACGCTCCCAGCTGCCTCCTGCACAGTGTGTACTGAAGGATGCCTGCCCAGGGCACCACAGAGCAGGCACTGTGCCAACTTGCTCAGTATTTCTCTAGTGTGGGATAGGAAAGGATTAAGGGGAAGGAAATCTCCAGCTCTTCTTTTTAACAGACAGGCAGATACATTTGCCCACTCCTAAAACTAGTAGAAGGATTCTGTTTGTTCCAAGTCCTATTGTTATCAGTTAGATGCTAAGATACTTCCCTCACTTTATCACGTGTGACACTTTTTCAAGAGAACAGGTACCATTGCATGGTGTTGTCCCTGCATTTGGCATCCAAGCAAAGCATCTTGGGCAGAAAATGAAGCAGAGGGACCAGTCCCTCCCAGAGCCTCCAGTGCCTGCTGAGGGCACATGGTCAACAGGCACGGGCATCTGGTTCATGGACAGGGTGGTTTTCATCAAGTCTGGGGAAGTCCATCTCCTGAAGGAGCCAGACACCTACTCAGTCAATTCTACTTAAAGGAGCGGGTCATGGCTTCCCTGCTGGGCAATTTTGAGAATGACCACTAAGATGCATGGAATACCTAACACAGTACCTGGAAGAACTTGACAAGAGCTGATTGAGAGAAAGCACTCAATGAACAGTCACCGCTGGTAAATCACCTGCTCAGACAGCTGCCACCTGACACAGGGAGAGAGAGCAATGAGTACCTTGAAGACAAGGGGCGGAATCCAGACATGCTTAACTTACTGGCCAATGAGTTAGAGCTAATGACTTCAAAGGTATGGGGCACCCATCAGCGAGGGCACTAAGGGGGGCAAATGAAGGCATGGCAGAGCAAGGCCCGCTCCGGAGGCTGTACCCCAGCCCACAGGGAGTGCTGCAGCCGTGATCAAAAAGACATTATGCTGCACCCGCTGCAGTCTGACAGCCGCTCAAAAGAAAGCAGAAGTGTTTAAGCTGACCACAAACTCTGTAGAGGCCAGTGACAGCTGACATGGCCGTGATGTTGCCAGAGCTGCTAAAAAAAACAGGAACAGTGGCAACAGGTGGCTGCCTGGCATCAGCAGTCCCTTTTGGAACTGAAAAAATTGGGCTCAAATGTCACTTCTGCCACTTATGAGGGCAGGACCTCAGGTTATTTCTGGCCTTCCCTGAGCCTCAGAATCCCACTTAAAGGAGTGGGTCATGGCTTCCCTGGTGGGCTATTTTGAGAATGACCACTAAGAGGCATGGAATACCTAACACAGTACCTGGGAGAACTTGACAAGAGCTGGTCAAGAGAAAGCACTCAATGAACAGTCACCGCTGGTAAATCACTTACTGTAGAAAAAAGAATTTGTATGAGGAAAGCCCTTTTCTACCCAGCCCCTGTCAGGCCTCTGGGGGGTATTCTGTCCAAATCTAGGCTCTCTGCTCAAGTTCAGGTTAGAAAGCACCCACAGCACTGACCTGTCGGATAAAGGAATTGGGCAGAGTCAGCCTGAGGGGAAAGAGCCAGACACATAAAGTAGTTTGTTGTGGCTGTTAAAATATTTAGAGAAACTTCAGAACCTGTGAGTTTGCTGCAGAGATTCAAAGCAGTGGAGGGAAGTTGGTAATGCCCGTCTCAGCTCTAAGTCACAGGACACAGGCTTCCCACAATGCCATGTGCTGTTGTGCAAAGTGTTGAGCTCCCCACCACTGGGGGTGATTGGGCAGAGTATAGATGACCTTCCATCTGAAATGTTCTAGAAGGAATCTCTGAATCCATGGCCCAGCAGCCAAACAGGCTGGACTTGGATCTTGGTTCTGAAGCTATCCGTGTGGCAAGTTAACGGCTTCGAACTCCAATGCCCTTATCTACATTGGGTCTAATGAGACTAGTGATGTCAAAATGGGACTAATAATGCCTCCAAGGAATAGTGTGAGGATTAAGCCTGATCATCTCCAGAAATCACCTGCTCAAAAGTAAAACGCCGGGCTGTGTGACTTCTGTGTGACGTGAAACTGTGAGGATAAGAAGTGCAGTGCAGCCACACAGATGCCCAGGAGAACAGACAGACCCACCCTCCAGGCCACAAAAGGGTAGGCTCCAGACAAGCTCTGCACCAGAGCTGGCAACCACACTTGCCATACTGGGGACACTCTGTGGGGAGTGGGGAACCAGCCCTCCCCAAGGTCATGCCATTGTCCTATTGCCTGTGTTCTGTGCAGATCCTCTAGCTGGGCTCTCAGCCCTGGTGCCATGTTGGCATCGTTGCCATTAATCAGCCTGGAGAACTGCTCCTTTTGAAAGGCATCAAACTCCAGAGAGTGATTCAAGGCTGGAGGATGAAGCACCTCAACTGTGCAAAGAAAGACGTGAGGAGGTTTAGTGATGTCTTTTTGGTCTGTGAAGGGCTCTGTATCAGAGGATGGGAAATGTTATTTTGCATCTTCCCTGGGGACTCAAGAGTAAATGCGTGAACTCAGCGGTGACAGATTAGCAGAGATGTACAGAAGAATTCTTCTAGCAACAGATGTTGGGGAGCAGCCAAAAAAGCATAATCAGAGAAACCTCTCCTCCTGGGGCTTTCAGTGGAGCAGGGGGATAATTGAGAGGAGGAGGCTGAAGCAGGTTCCTTCCACTGGCCCAGAAGGAAGTCACAGCGTCCTCTTTCATCCTGGGGTGCACTTCAGCCTCTGTCATCTGCTCTAAATAGCCCCTTTTTCTTTACAGTCTTCGCCACTGGAATAACCCATTGGCCTCTCCCTTTCACAGGCATCTCTGAAAACATAGCTGTACCTTCCAAGCCCGACCTGCTGGAAGAGAAGCTGCGATCACAACTGGAAGAAGAAAAGAGAAGGTGCCTTTTCTTTTCATCCCCACATTGCCAGACCCCAACCTCAGAGCTTGGAACTGCCCAGGGCAGGCAGACGGGTCACGCCCAGAGCAGAACGGAGTCCTCTAGCTGGATCCCAAAATAGCTGCAGTTGAACAGACAGGTGTGAAGTGCAGAACCCCAGAGACAGTGTGTGCTGAGAATGGGGAGAGGAAGGCCAAGCCAGGCCACAGAGTCTGGATTCGTGAATGAGGAAGGGCAGTTTGCTGCAGGCACCCTCCACAGCCAAGGTCCCCGCCCGCTGCTCAGGCAGCAGCCAGTCTTGTCTACTGCTGCCATCTAGGGGATATAAGAAGTATGAACCCGGGGATCTCAGGCCAGCAACTCTACCCTATATCCCTCCTGAAAACAGCTTAGCTTCATGCAGACATTTAGAGCCTTTAAAAATGATCTCAGCTATAGCGTGAGGAATCTCGAGGGCAAACAGATACAAGACACAGCATGGTCACCAATCTCAACATGCCCGTGAAGATTCTTAGTTCATTCATTCATTTTTGCATTCAGAGTATTTGCCGTCTCTTCCATTACTACAGAGAGGTTTGGGAGACCTAACTAGTCACTTTCCTTGCCCTTGATTTGTTGATCAGTGCAAGAAAGTAGGCTTGCACCCTGAACAAAGCATGTCCCCATTTAGTCCCTCCCCCCAAAAAAACACACACACACACACACATAAACACAACCCTGCCATCCTTAGACAGGAAAAGGACAGCCTGTGCAGCTCCAAGTCACGCCCGATCACGGTACTGTCGCCTTCTGCCACTATCTTCCTTCCAGAATGCTTTGCAGTGCCTGCCAAGACTTACCAGTATTGCCAAGATGTATCCAGTCCATGGTGCACTCCTGGTTGTCCTCTATCCTTCATTCCATTACTTTTCCACCATTATTTACAGCCCATTATTCTGTCTTTAATCCACCCCACCGAGTCCCCTCTGTGCATAATTCCAACCTCAGCGTCGTCTCTACAGTTTTGATTCTTCAGCCGTTTCCCATTGGACAGTTTCTGATCCATCCCCCAAAGCCTATGTATATATTAACTGGACGGTGCCCTTTGGTGCTCAGCATGAAGGTGAACCAGTGGAGTCCTGAAGTAGTGAAGATTGTGGTTCCAGAACCACGAGTCCTGGGTTCAAATGCTCCCTTTCCTGGTTATTAACTCTGTGCAATAGAGCAAGTCACTCAGCCTCTCCATGCCTCTCATTCCAAATCTGTGAAGTGGAGATGATGATGGTGGTGGTGATGATGATAATGACTGTGTGTTCCTCATGGGGCTATGGAAGGGACTGTATTTAGTTTATGTGTAGCACCTGGAGCAATACCTGCCCCTTAAGTGTTCAATAATGTAGTTGCCGTACTTGGCACACGGTTATTCAGCTCACACAGAGCCCCATGGGCGTGCTGGACAAAACACCTGATTTTGCTGTCTGCAGTGGACTGAAATCCTGGTGCCCAATTCTGGCCTCCATGGGATCTTGGAAGGTCCCAGTTCTTGGGACCCGGGCAGCACTGCCAGGCTTCTGAGGCGCAGGCCCTGCAGCCCACAGTCCATTTACAGTCCTCCCTCTCTGCCAGTGACCTTCAAGACTCTGATTCCACTGCAGGTACAAAAGCATGTTCACGCACCTGAAGGCCCTGAAGGTGGAGATCGAACACTTGCAGCTGCTCATGGACAAGACCAAGGTGAAGCTGCAGAAAGAGTTTGAAGCCTGGTGGGTGGAAGAGGCCAGCAACCTGCAGGTATTTGCAGACAGGCCCCTCACTGCCCCCAAAGTCCCCTCCTCTCCTCCTGTGGACCCAGGAAAATATCAGGGCAGGACCCATGGGGCTGTCACACGCAAAAAAGTGGGGGCTTTGGCCCATAGACCTGATGCCTGTGGAGCAAGGGCTCCATTAATAACCAAGGCACAATAGTCAGGGGCTCTTGGCTTGCTTGCTCTAGTGCCTGCCACACGGAAAATGGTAGAAGATGTAGCTCCCCAAACCAAGGGGTGTAGGTGATGGTCTCCATGAATCATGTTGACAGCCTTGATTGGCTTTTATGTTCTTGTTATAGTCATATATTACAATATAGTTTATAAATACCACTTTACTTATAGTTATGACTCATGCAGTTAAATTACAGAAATGTTTGGAAATACAGAAAAACGCAAAAAAAGTAAAGATCACCATCATCCCCCCACTTAAGGGTAGTCAGTACTGATATATGGGGTTATATTTTATCCTTTTTCTGCGCATACTTATCCATATATTTTTTTCTAAAAATAGCATCAGACTGTTCTTCAAGTGTCACAGTGACTTGCTTCCCCTTCATGGTATCACCAGACTCCACATCATTACTCTATGACTCTCATCTAGTGACATCAGACAGATGGATTTTAATCTAGGTCATCGATCTCCTATTATTTTGCACTTAGGTTGTGTCTAGTCTTTACTGCAAGCATATTTGTACATAAACCTCTGTATATCTCTTAGACAAATTCCTAGAAGCTCCCTAGGCAGTCATGAACCTGTTCAGAAGCATCAGTACACACCCGCAGTTCCGGTTTTCACGGGAAACACATATAATCACATCGCTTGTGCAACTGACAGAACCCTTCAAGATGCTCTAACAGGCTGCCCCATCATATTAAAGACATGAGATAATATCTGCTCAACGAACCACAGCCAAGAATAACTACACGTGATCCAGTGGCCACGTGGCCAGACAATAGAGAAGAATAGTCAGGTGAAGCTAAATACACAAGATGACAAATAAGTTTAAGACTGCAATACAGTGAGCAAAATAGTTTTAAAGCAGAACATATGGTACAGTAACGTGTGTACCACCTGACGTGGGCATTAATAAGAACTAGGGTTAGGCCATTCTTTACCATTATTTCAAAGTAATATGGACACAAGTATATCAAGGTGCCTACAACTATACTGTGGTCTGAAACAGCCATGATTTCTACTGGGATGACATTCCCAGAACTGCTATGTTGCTGTGGTTTGTTGTCTCCATTTCTCATTGAAAGAAAAGCTACTTTCTAGGTAAAGGTTAGGAGAGATGGAAAGGGAACTGCTTCCTGTCCCTGTTCACAGCACCCTGGATTCTGCCCGTGACCTCCAGTTAAATATCTTTCCTCGTGAGCATGGTGCTGGGGTGCACGGGGACACTCACATGGGATACAGTGGACAAGGTCACCCCAGTGGCTCAGTGACAGTTCAAGCAAGGCTGATGGCTCCAAACATTTACTACTTCCACAGAGTGTGAAAGTCATGTTAAGGACTAGGAAACTGAGAGCCAGAGATAATGTCTGCCCAACGACCCACAGCCAAGCAGCTAACAGAGTAGCCAGAAGGGTCAGCTGTGTGCTCCAGCCTGCACAGTGTTACTGACACAGGGGGATCTAATGACAGCAACAGGGAAGATGGGGCCCATTCTGGGTTGCCTTGCAGCAGGGCTCAGGAGTACCCCAACTGAGGTGAGGCAGAAAGCCTTGAACCTCCTCAGAACATGTGAGATCATGCAAGGCTGTCCTGGCAATCCTGCTGGGGCAAAAATCCTGGGAGCAGCTCCTCACTGGCTTCCATGAGGGTGGGGCTCATGATGGGGAAACCCTGGGGCATCTGCCAGCACTCAGATGAGCTGCCCTTGAAGGCTTGTTGGCACGTGAACTTTGTGTGGCACATGACCTTTTCAGGCGCCTGGGAGCTGTTCCTCTGGGAAGTCTCAGCAATTGCTCCTGGCATTGGTAGGGTCTCTGGAACAAGGGAAGCAAAAAAAAAAAAAAGAAAGAAAGAGAGAAAGAAAGGGTGTGTGAGACATGTCAGATAACATTTTAAATTTTATTTATTTTTTTTCTCAGTAACTACAAAAAAGAATACATGCCCAACTTGGAAAACTTGGAAAGCCCAGAAAAGCACAAAGAATAAATCAAACATTACCCATAATCCTGCATCCAAAGATAATATTTTCACACCCATCATTATGCTCAGTGCTATGTCTAGAGCTATTTTCTCTCACGTATATGGCATATACTAACTTTTAGAGTCAGCTGTTTGCCCTGAAAAAATACATCAAGGATATTTTCCCATCTCATGAGACTCACACTCACTCTGTGAAACTCCTTCTTGGGTCAACAGGTAAACCCTCCCCCAGCGAATTCACTTGAACCCATGCCTGAATCCCAGCTCAGAGAGCCACAGCATCTCTCCAACAGAAGGTAAGGGGAGAACTCTGACCACAGGGCAAGGGGGTCCAGCAACAGTTTCTGACGACTCTCCTCAATGCTCCAAATGCCTTTTATAAGCTGCGTGACACAGGAGGATGAATCACTTTCACTGTCAGTGTGGTTGTAGGTCCTTAGCCTTTCAGGCTGGCGGAGTGCATGTCCTTCCACCCTTTCCCTTGTTGCAGGCCTGGAGCCCCATTGCCATGGCAACAAGATACAGGAGAGCTAAATGTACACCCTGGACCTCCCTCCCCTGGAGTAAGAAAATGGATGGCTCTAGGGGAGAAGAGAGTAGCATGGGAGATGAGAGGGGAAAGGAGGAGAAGGGGAGGCCCTCTGGTAGTCGGCCAATCAGGATACAGGGGAGTGTTGGCAAAAGACCCTGTCCCAGTGAAGATTCTGGAGAGATATGGGCAGCCTCCTGAGGATGGCCCAGAGTGATGGGATGATCCAGGAGGGACTCTGTTTCCTCCCACATCACCTTCTGAAACCAGTTTACTTCTGGTACCATCCATATTTGTTTCTCTTTCCAACTACATGGCTCAGGTGGTAGAGCCAGAGACGTAGACCCCCTTCCTCCAACCTCAGAATTGGCACTTTTACGAGGGATGTGGCACTCAAAGGGCCTAGGTCTCTGCATACTGGACCACTTTTTGCCTGGATTTGAATGGGAGCTTCGCTCTCATGATGGATTTAAGTGGCTAAAATCCAAGAACCTGATACCACCAAATGTTGACATGAATATAGATCAACAAGAATCCTCATCAGTTTCTGGTGGGAATGCAGAATGGCACAGCCACTTGGGAAAACAGTTGGTGGCTTCCCACTAAACCAAACATATTCTTAGCATATGATCTAGCAATCATCCCCTTGGGACTTACCCAAAGGAGTTGAAAACTAAACCTGCACATGAATATTTATAGCAGTTTGTTCATAATTGTACCAAGTGGGTGCCATCACTGTCCCCATTTTACAAATGAGAGGACAATTAACCTGCCCAGTGCCACCAGCCTGGGTGGTGTGCCCAGAGTTGGAACCCAGACCCATCTGCAAATAGCCATCCCCTCAGTCCTCAGTTGAACTTCCTTCAGTGTAACGAACTGCCCTTCCGGGTCATGCGTGTACCCTGTGGGTTACCAGGAGATGCCATCTTCCAATCCATGTTCTGTGTCATGTCATACAAATGTGCTTTCTTTACATTTGGCCAAGCCCCAGCGCCCCTGCTGGGGACCTCACAGTTCAGGTGTCCACAGTCTGATTTTCTACTGGAGTCTGGATTTTCAAAGAGCAAATCTGTCCCTCTTAGTCTGCCAACCTATGACTGGGGAACCAGAACTCCCTGTTTTTGGCAGCCACCATTGACAATTGCAGAATCCAGTCCTCGTGTCACTGAGCAAACAGAAACTCCAGAAGGGGATGTGAGGTTTTGAACTCTGTAGCTTGTCCTGTGAAGAAGAGCTTAATCTGGAACCTCCAATTCTACATTGAATGATGCTTCTTACTTCTTTCCACCTTCCCCTCCTCCCTTCTTCCTTTCCTCGCTAGTCCTTCACTCCTTTCTTGGAGGGACCCCTTCCATTCTCCCACCCCTTCCATTCTTTTGCTCTCCTTATCTTTATTCCCATTTTATAATCCCTTCTTTTTTTTTTTTTTTTTTTTTTTTGGTAATTCTGCTGCCAGCCTTTAATTGCCAGTTTCTCTAAGAGTGTCCCCCCTGGATTAGGCCCCAGAACTAAACACTGGGGGAGCCAGTGTGCCCGTCCCTCAGCCTCCACTGTGTGAGAAGCAGAGCCTATCCTGGCCTCAACACCCCCAAGCCCTCCTTGAGAATCCCACTTAAGATGATCCCTGGATGTGCTTATCAAGAGATCCTCAGTCTTGACCTTCAGAATCTTGGGTTTCAGAGGTGCACATCTCCTCGCCATTAGCTACTCCCCAGTGCCATCAGGTTAGATTTACCCTGACAAAGCCTACCGTAGGTCTTCCTAGCAGTGCTCCCTTGGGCCAGCCGTTCTCCACATTGGGACTTCCGAGTCACATGCTTTAAGGCATCAGGCCACTCCAAAGCCAGTATTCGATGAGCAGATCCGTGTTCCGGTGATGCCGGGAGCTTCAGGAGGGAGAGCCTGGTTTGCATCTGGGCTTCAGTGATACTTTCCATGGAATCCCTGCAGGCCAGGAGTTGGCCTCTGCTCCTTGCCTCTCAAAGAAACCTGATTTCATCACTTCCCCAAGGATGCCCAGGTCTTGCAGCTAGCTGACTGCAGACAATCCAGAAGATGAGCAATCTAGAAGATTTAATTACATTACCATTAAGAGTGCTTATTAATCCTTATTAGGAAAGAGAACATTAATTCTGATGGCTGATGTTTTCTCTCTCCACAAGGAATGTCAACGTGAGAAATGGATTCATGATTGGTCAGAAGAGAGGGCGGTTCTTGGAGGGACCCCTTCCCTTCTCTTGCTCTCCCTATCTTTATTCCCACCTTATAATCCCTTCTTTTCTTTCTTTTTTTTTTTTTTTTTTAATTCTGCTGGGGTTCAGAAAGGAAACTGTGGCATCCAGGGACAGAGAGGCAGCTTCAGCACAGGACAGGGGTCCCAAATCTTCATACTGTGAGGTCTGGCCCATCGACCTGAGCTGGTTAAGATGACCAGCTAAGCAGCTGAGTCTCTGGAATGGGAGTCCCCCCCACACTCCCGTAGCACTCCCCACTCCTGAGCATTGTGCATGTGAGTGAATGTTCCCTAAAATCTTAGAAGTTTTGCTGGGAAACCATGAAGTTAGTGAGTCATTTGCATCTGATGACTTGATCTGCAAGATGTGCTAGTTTGTGAACTGGCCCCGACCTGGTCTAACAGAAGCACCTACAGAAAGGAAAGCCCCTCCTCCTTCCCTCCTCTGCACCAGGAAACATTTGCTAGGATTTCAGAGAACTGGCCTTCTCGCCCAAGGAAAGTGAACAGAAACTGCCACCTTGTGGCTCCTTCTGGTCCTGCAGCAGCCCTCACCAGGGTGCACACCCTTAAGAAACAGTGGAGACAACCACCATTTCAGAGCCAGAATCATGATGAGAATAGACCATCAAACGGCAGTGTTTCCACACACATCCTCTGTGTCCCGCTGTTGGTCTTGCATAACCTGTGGAAACTCTCCAGACTTTGCCTAGCCCCTTCATGAAAGAGACTAGTAAGCAACCTATCCATGCTGAATGGCCCTGAAATGGAAAGGAAAGGACCCATAATAAGTAAAGGGAAAAGAGTTCTGGACTGGATACCAGCCTTGGGCAAGCCACTAACTTCACATCAACACTGGCAGCATTGGAGCAAGGGCCTGTGCAGCTCTGGAGGCCTGAAAAAAAAAAAAAAAAAGAATCAGTGGAGAGTGTTTGGGTTGATGGATCATAGGCACGAGGGGAAACATCCAAGGTCCCAATTTTATTAATTGTTTTGTTTGTTTGCCCACAGTCCTGACCTACGGAGACAGGTCCAGGATAAGAAGCCCCGTGACTGAGATGGGATTGCACAGAAGGCCAGAGCTGGGGAAGAGCCTATATTCCTAATCAGACAGCAGATTATGGGGCCTGTGGCCTGCTTGGGTGAGGAGACATGGCAAAGTTGACTCATCTGTCTCCAACCCTAGCCTACCTCTCAGATGAGTGTCTTTGTAAAAAGAGGGCTCTGACCAGGTGACTTTCTAGGTCTCCTCCAGCTCTGACACAGTGTCTAGCAGGCCCATCCCAAAGCAAGAGAGGGGATCCTATCACATCCCTGGCTTCTTTGACCACAGCCTCTTCACCTCCCAGGCTGGGTTGTCCTAATTGCAACCAGGGACCCAGGCAAGGCCTGTGCCCAGGGCATCCTAGTTAAATGGGCAAAATTGCATCTGTGTGAGCTGCTGGGTCTGACTCTTCAGGGAGGGACACAGATCTGGTCGGCCAGGGCCACCTAGCAGCAGTCACTGCAGTCAGGGGTAAGCCAAGCACCACAGGGGGTGCTTTCTGAGAGGCCCACGAAGCGGAGTGCAGTTAACAAGCCGTCATGACTGAGGGCAGGAGTCTGAAGATTCGCTGAGTTATGGCTAGATCTGGATAATACCACTTAGCAGCAGGGTAACTTCTGGAATTTCTCTAACCTTTGGACCTCAGTTTCTCATCTATATAATCCAGATAATGACATGTACCTCTCAGACTACTGAGAGGATTTGGAAAATGCCATAGCATTTGCAGAGCACTTTCCAGAATTTGATGTGTAGAGAGCATCTGTAGGTGACATTGGTGTCTCCTGTTGTTTTTGTTTTTTTTTTTTTTCAGCCTCCATGGCCAATAATTGCAAAGTTCCAAATTAATTCATAGAACATCTGTTCTAAATGGTTGCATCCCCCCTGCAAATTCATTTGTTGAAATCTAACCTAATTTGGGCAAATGAGGTTGTGAGGATAGAGCCCCTCTTCAGGGATTAGTGCCCTTCTAAAAAGAGGCAGAGAGCTAGCACACTCTTTCCACCAGATGAGGGCGCAACAAGAACTCTGTGGCCCCAAAAAGATCCTGACCATGTTGCACCGTGATCTCAGACTTCCAGCCTCCAAAACCGCAAGAAAGTGAATCCATTTTAAGTCAGCCAGCCCATGGTCTTCTGTTATGGCAGCCTGAACTGACCAAGACGCCAGCAAGACTGGACTCTTGGTTCCTGTCTTAGTTCACACTGACATAACAGAAGACCATAGACACAGGGCTCAAATATCAGGAATTTATTTCTTCCTTGCTGTTCTGAAGGCTGGGAAGTCCCAGATCACAGTCCAGCAGCACAGGTTTACAGTGACACCCCGCTTCCTGGCATGCAGATGGCTTCCTCCTTGCTATGGCCCCATGTGGTAAAGCCAAAGCTCTGGTGTCTCTTCCTCTTCCTATGAGGGCACCCACCCCATCGGTGAGCCCCACCCTCATAGCCTCATGAGAATCGCAAAAGCCAAATACTGAATACCTCACCTTGGGGGTTAGGGCTTCAACTTAGGAATTGAGGGGAAGGAGGAAGACACAAGTATTCAGTCAGCTCCTAGCTACTAATCCTGAATTTCTTACCCGTAAACATCTCATGCTTATTCCTTGTGTTGTCTTGTCAGTTGCAGTGATGTGAATGCCAGGAAAACCCTGCCCTCGCCTCTCCCCATCCTGCACAGCCAGGAGCCAGGCAGTGCCAGCACCTCCCCGAAGGACAGGTGTGTGTGGTCCTCTCCTCTCTCTGACACCTGTGACAGCCCCTGTGGGGACCTAAGTCATCAGCCGCTTCCCCTACCACTCAAGGGACCCTTGTCCAGTGGCCATAGAGACAGAGCCCAGGGCTGGCCTCCACCCAGCGACCCCTGGAATCTCTCACAGAACAGGGGAATTATTCCCAGGGCACTGGGGCTATGAGTGGGCAAGATTTATACCAGCACCATGAACAGAAAGAAGCCATGATCAACAAAGTCCCGCGGCAGCTCCAGTGTGGGGCCCACAGCAGGGTCCAGGCATGAAGGCCTCAAGACCATGAGCCTTTCACAGCTGGCTGAACCAAGCTGATGAGGCTGCTCTCCAGCGTGTGCCATTTCTGCCCTCTTACTGAATGTCTGTGGGTCCCTCCTTGCCCCCAGAGTCATCCCAGTGTGATTTCCACCAGTTGCCAGAATGAAGAGCATTAACACAGCTCCCTGTCTCCCTCCACAACCCCAGTTTAGTGCTTCCCATAAAGTTGCTGCTGGCAAACTGGCATAAAAACTACTTGTGATAATGAGCGGCCCCCTGTGACTCCCCACTGCCTTCTGTGGGTGTGTTACCTGCTGGTGAAGGGACAGGTGCCTGGCAAAGCCAAGAGAGCGCATTACTCTGACTTTTCTTAGGGGGATTTTATATACAGGTATTAGATGGGGAAAAAGGAAGGAGAAGGACACATCCATCCTTCCGTGTTTGAGAGGATTGCCTGAAAATCCACACAACAATTCTTACAAATTTCATTGCCCATAACCTGGTCAACTGCAAGGAGGCTGGGAAATGTAGTTTTCTTAGCTGTGGCAATTTACTCAGCTAAATATTATAGTTTTGTTACTAATGGAAAAGAGGAAAATGGTTATCTCTGCTTCAGGAGCAACTAGCTAAGCCATGGCAGGGAGGGGTGCACTGGAGAGATAAAGGATATGCCATCTGAGCAAGTGCTGTAGGAGACAGTCCCCCAGTAGAAAGGCCTCAGTTGGGGTAAGTTGAGGGTGAGGAGGGAAGGGGGGTTGCTGAATGAAGGTGGTGAGAGGAAGCACATTAGACCACATAAAGGTCTTGGGAAGAACCCCCGGGGCCAAGAGACAGCAAAGACAAAGGGCCTGAGGGCCTCCGTGCATTTGAATAACCAAAAATTCTGGGTGGCCTAAGCCAGAGCACACAGGGACCCAGTTTGCATTCCATTCCTAGAGTTACTGAGGCCACTAAGTTCTAAGCCTAGAACATGATGCGTTGTGTGTGGGGGAGGGTTTCTGTGACTGCTGCCCAGAGGTGAAGGAGTGAGGAGCAGGCAAGGGGCAGGTGCTCAGCACCCCAGGTGAGAGCCCATCACTGCACACGGAAAAGCTCTTTGGCAAGGTCAGCGCTGAGCCCGAACTGACCAAGATGTGTGTTTGTTCCTGGCAGCCCCGAGAGACCAATGTCATCCATCCCTCTCACTGGGGACACACAGACAGACAACGACATTCTGGCATTCATCAAGGCCAGACAGACCATTCTACAAAGGAAATGTAAGTGCATATTCCTCTGTGGCTCATTGGGGTCACAGGTCACCCCACCTTGTTCACCAACATTTGTGGAGGGTGAGGAACAAGATTGAGGCAAACTTTGAGGCAAAAGGAAGCAGCACTGGCTTTGTGATCACTGCACATGTGCTTGGCCTCTGCTTCTTTCTGAGGCACGTTCCAGAAGGAGCATCAGAAACAGTAAGACAGGCCCACAGGGGTGGTGGCCCATCTTCTCCTGCCTGTTGGCAGAACTTCTCTCCGGTCAGATCCGCAGCTCCCTTTGTTCCTTGTCACCAAAGGCAGCTCTCCTCTGCTCAACCCTCTCCAAACAGGAAGGGGCTGAGTGATGGTTTGCTTAATGGTTGAACCCCAGGTTCCTGCTGGTGCGTGACTCTTGCCAATGAGTTGTAGGTATAAACACCACTTGAGGGGCCATGTAACAGCCATGAGAGAAATATGTGCGGTGTGTCAGGCAACAGGAAGAGAAAGAGAAGGCCCTTCCTGGCCTTTGTCACTGACCTACCCCTTCTTCCTCTTGGCAGCTGCTCATGGCCTGAGCAGGCCTTCTCTGCTCCTGCTTTCCTCCTCCCCAGACACGCACAGGGACTAGCCCCTGGACCCCTTGTCTGCTTTCAGTCTTAACCTCACCCCAGCAAGCCAAAGGCTACCGAACAGGCCTAGCATGCTTTCACTGTCAGCAAGACAGATGAAGCAACAGGACATGCCCTGAGGGCTTCCACTCAACTCCACCAACTCTCTGGATTTGAACAGAAGGAGGTTTGCACACAGACAGAGCCCTGAACGTGAGGGGTGGCCTTCCCCTTGTAGCCTTCGTGGGTAGCAAACAAACACCCTTGCTATGCCACCAGCTTGCTTGTTACTATTCTCTGTTTAGCACCAACAGTGAATGCCATTGTTTGGTGAGGCCTGAGAGAGATCAGCTCTGCCACCAACCTGCTGTGACAATTCTGCCACCAAACTGCCCTTTTCTCATCCTTAGTTTCCTTGTCTAGAAAAGAAAAGGTTGAATTTGGGTCCAGTCATCTCCAAGGCACTGTCTACACCCCCCACCCCCAAATGCTCTGTATGTATCAGACTCTAGACAGCACTTAACAGTCAGTGGGCAAACAATGCATCTATTGGGCACTGTCTATGTATCAGGCTCTGTAATAGTGGACAAGGCAGAGTCAGACATCAACGTTTGGAAGAGATGAAAGGTAAACATCAACAAATACCTGAGATCCGAGATCATGCAAGGTGTTATATGAAGTAGTTAAAATGTATAGTGTAGAGAGCAAAGGGGAAGGCTGTTTGAGCTGGGCCTTCCTGGAGAGAGCTTCAAACTGATAACTGAACAGTGAGCATGGAGCAGCCACACTGTGTTCTGTGAGAGAGTGAGCCAAGCAGAAAGTGGACAGCCCTGGAGGGCAGGGAGAAGGCCAGAAAGACTGAAGGAGCGAGCTGGGGCCCGGGGTCGGAGTGGGGGCCAGATGACACAGGGTCTGTGGGCAAAGGCAAGGGCCTTGGTTTTTACCAAATGTAGTAGGAAGTCAGTGAAGAATTTAGACCATGTTGTAGTTGTGATTGGTGTTTTAGAAAGCTCTGGATGTGATAAAGATATCCTAACTAGGTTAACTAAGCCCTAGGGAGGTCCACGAAATGGGGTAAGGGTAGCCACCTACCAACACATTGGACTTGAGATGTGAGGGAATGAGGTGAGACAGGAGAGCTTCCTGGTCTTCTGATCTGAGTAGCTGAGAGGTGCTGTTGCCTGGAATGAGGAAAGGAGGGAGAGTGGGCACCAGAAGGAAGGAGGTAGGTGAGTCAAGAGTTCTGGTGAACCCATGTGAACATCTGAGATCCCACAGATGCTGTTGAGTAGGCAGCTGACTCTAATTCTGGAGCTCTGCAGAGAGGTCTGGCTTGGGTAATAAACCTGGGCCTCTCACCTCTTGATGGTGTGGGAAACCATGCATGGGCTGGGTAAAATTGACTTCAAAGAGAGCAAATCAAGCCTTTCCAGTTGCTGACAGCAGATCCCTGGGGCACTACAGCTTTTAGCAGAGATGGGAAGATTCAACCACAGACACTGAACTCAGCCAGCCGAAAGCTGGGCCAGCAGGAGAGGGATGTGACCGAGACAGGTCTGCAGGAGAAGGTGTCGGAGGGGAGATGGGCCAGGAGAGGCAGTGCTGCTGAGAGGAGGTACAAGGACTCATGCCTTGCATGGCGTGGCGCTCCCAGGAAGCACACCCTTCTCTAACCAAGGGACTGAGAGAATGGGAGCTCTGTTGGAGTGGGTGAGGAGAGAAAGAGTGGAGGCAGTGAATAGTGGGCAACAACTCTTCCAGGGAATTCAGCTGTGAAGAGACAGGGCAGCTGGTGCTAAAGAGAAGCAGTGGGCTGCGTGAGAGGAGAGGGCTTTGTTTTGTTGTAACGGTTACGAAAACCTGTTTATATACTGAAAGAAACTGATGAGGTGGAAAAGAGGACCACACCGACAGAGTAAACCCTTTCTCCTTTAAGGAAGTGAGAGTGACATAAGCGGTGAGGGGACATAAGCGGAGGGAGCATTGGCCTTTGTTTGGGGGGCCTTTGTTTGTGTTCCATCCCCCGGAACAAATTCATAAATATCAACTGTCTACAGGTCAGCGCTGACTTGGAGTTCTATTTACTCAGCTTTTGTACACATAATAGAGACGCTATCTCTGACCTCTAGGAGACGAGGCGACCACCCGAGGCCTGTGCCAGGACACGGTCTTCCTGCCAACCCCATGCCCAGCCTGTGGGGAGAGCTGGGCTGACAGGCTTTTCCTGAGGTGTACATGGCGCTCTCCTGTCCATCATTATTCTCATTTACATCGCTCCATCTGATGCTCTCACACTCCTCTGTGGTAAACAGAGCCAAGAGTCTGAGCTCCCTTTTGACAGGTGAGGAAACCAAGGCACACAGAGATTGAAGGATTTGCCTAGATAATAAATGGCAGAGCCAGGGTGACCCAGGTTTTCTGCACTCCCTCCACAGGGCTCCTGTCTTGCAAAACCATGTTGTTGTCCTACTGTCTGGCTCTTGGCCTTCACCCTCCCTGAAGCTAGGAAGCTTTGTTTTCCAAACAAACAGCAACCTGGAAATAATTTATCAAAACAAACAAAAGTGGGAGGGTTCTATTTTTATTCTAAAGGGAAGGAAAATAACCCCAGGTTCTTAGTGACCACAGATTCGCAAAGGAAGCTGAAGACAGGGTGACACAAGGGTCCCAGTAGGGGCTGAAAGGCCAGCAGGTGCGGCCCAGGGACTCGGGGACTCTGGCAGATGGCCGGGCTGCCTCCACGCAGCACTTTCCCCGCAGCCACTTATCAGCTGCCCTGCCAGGCAAACACGAAGGCCCGCCGGCACCTTCCCCAGCCAAAGCAAACACTTCCCTCTCCCCTGCCCTGGGCTCCCTCTGCTCTTAATTTAGTGGCGCTGTGGTCTGGGCTTCTTCATGAGCTCTCATTATGGGGAATTTGTGGCCATCAGCCTGGGAGCAGGAGCCCACAGAGGGTGATTTAACATAAGCCTCGCCCGCCGGCTCTTAGGCTTCACCGAGGGCCAGGATGAATCTACTTGATTTAGGATTCTGTGAAGCGTTTAAATCCCTGCCAGGGGCACGTGTGGACAGGTATATCTCCCCCGGAAGGAGCGTTAGTCATCCACGATGTCAAATCTGCTGTTTCTAACTGCCAAGGATGGCTTTAAAATCTGAGAAAATGAGGTTAACTTAGAGTGAGCATTTTTTTTTTTTTTAATTTTCCTGTCTCTGAGTTTGGAAGTATTTCCATCTATACAGGAACCTAGGTATGACCTCTGTGACCACGATGCCCATTTCTCCAACTGGTGCCAGGAAGAGGCTCTGCTCAGCACCCCCCAACCCCACCTTTCCCACTCTGAGAAAGCTTTGGGCTCTCTCCTGTGCTCAGGAGCGCTCCCCAGAAAATGGAGAGAATAGCAGTACTGCCTGCAAGTACTGTCTCTGTCCCGTATTTCCTCGGGCAAGCCGCCTTCTCCACCTCAGGCCTGCCAAGTTCATATCCATCCTTGCCCATCCAGTCAGCCTGTCCCAGCCTGAGGTGGTGTCCAGAGAAACCCCGGTCAGCTGCCACACTCTGGGGAAGAGGGCAGGGAAGTTGGCCTGTAGTGTGGCCCTGTCCTGCCCAGTGAAGTATGAGGCTTTAATGACCTACCTGTGGCATTGCCCTCCTCTCTGAAGCCAGTACAAGGCCCCAGTGCAGCGTCAGCACCTAACGGTTTGTAAAGTAAGGAATGAGCTAGAATCGGTGACTTCTCCCTTGTATCTGGGTCACGCATGTGGGGGATCTGGTCTTGGAGTGGCGGCTCTGAGCTCTGCCCTGCAGCGCTTCTCAATGCCCCCTCCCCAGTCACCTGCCTATTTGTGAAGGGCAGTGACTGACTCACGCTCTTCCTGCTGCTTCTCTGGCAGCAGTAGCTAACTCTGACCCAGGCTGCTAGTCTGTGGAGCAGAGGACATGTGAGACACATGACTTTGTCGGTGGTGCCCGGCCTGTGCCCCCACCAGTCCTTGGAACAGAGAGAAGAAAGCAGTGGGGTTGGATCCTGGCTGCTCATCAGAATCACCAGGGCCCACCCCAGAGATGCCATAAATCTGTCCCACGAGTGGCTTGGCCATCAGGATTTCTAAAGGGTCCCCAGGGTTTCCAACATGCAGCCGATTGAGAACCGTGGGGCCACCGTGACCAGAACACACCTCCATGTGCTCTGATGAGCCTTCCCACCCAACAGTCACTTAGGACATAGGACAGCTAGGAACATCTTCAAATTAAGCACTGTGTTTATTAAACAGCAAGACAGCCTGGAGAACTGCACACAGAATCAGATCTAGAGGAGCTTATCTTCTTGAATTGTTTTCAACCACTTCCTCCTGTTACCTCCCACAGTCCGCATGTAGTGGAGAGTTATTCATTTCTCCCAGCAAGGTCAAGCAGGCCATGCCCACACCCCCCGCCCTGGTCCTCATGGCCACGCCCAGGTCCCCATGGCCCCTCCCACTCCCAGATGGCTGCTGCTACTCATTCTTCAATTTTTCTGTCCACTCTAATTTTTTAAAGCTCTGTATTCACCACTCCATGCAGGAATCTTCAGAAATTCCCTCTTATTCTTCTAACAGCTATACTTCCACCAAATTAACTGCATGTCCCTCATACCAGTTCTCAATCTCATGTGCCAGTGAACCAAGAGGTATTGTTAAAAATGCAGAATCAGGGCCGCTCTGGTGGCGCAGTGGGTTAAAGCACAGCACTAAGAAGCTAAAGCCACTTCTGCATGAGTTCGATTCCCGCCTGCCCCGGAGGTGACCACATGGTGTGGGAGACCTCTCCTGACCCGCCCGCTGCTCCCCTCAGCAGTGTACTTCGTCCATCTGCCTCTTCTGCTCCTCACTCTGTCTCTGGTGAAGCCTCTCGCCACCCCAGAGCTTCTGGCCTGTACCCCAATTCTGTATGCACAAATAAATAAATCTTTAAAAAAAAAAATGCAGAATCATGTCCAGGGAGTTCAGGTAGGACCCAAGGTTCTGCATTTCTAGGAATGCAGAGGATGCCAGTGTTGCCTCACTCTGAGAAGTCACCTTGCTTTGTCCAGGTACTTCATCTGCTCCAGTGACTTGGAAATGAGGAACGTAAGGCCCAGCGGACTAACACAATTACCCAAAGTCATGGCCTGGGTTGGAGGCCTGTCCTTGGCTAAAACTCAAGGGGCCTGGTTCTTAGTCCAGAGAGCCTTTTCCACATGCAGCCATGGCAGGTGACAAGGTAAAGCCGCCTGGTCAGGAAGCACCATGCCAGAATATAGTTACTCTCTGGTGCTAAGAGGCAAAGGAAGGCTCTGAATTAAGTAGGGGTGTATTAAAGACCTTGGGACTCAGAGAGATGAAACTTTTGCAAAGGGAAAAGCATAGCTTACTTTGACAGATGAGGACTAAGGCAGCCTAAGACGTCAGGACCCTGAGAGGGGCCCTGCCTGAGGCCAGGGGCACAGCTTGCACCTTCCGCCCTCACCCTCTGACCCTTGCACAGCCTAACCAAGGACATACTGTCTTTCAGGTTTGGGAAGCAACTGATTTGCAGTTAGCGTCCAGCATTCCTTGTGGCCATATGACCGGAGTACAGTTGACAGCACCTCCTCCCCCTCGCCCTGGCTTCTGCAGCGATCAGTGGACTGCTGGGAGCAGCTAGTGACTTGATTCCAGTGGACGGACTGGCGTTTCCTTAAGGGTGGTCTCATGGAGGCTGCCAGGGAGGCTGGGGTTGGGCTGGTGGTGCCATCCTTGCTGTGGTATGGTTGGCAGGACCTAGCACCAAGGGCAAGACAAGGGCTTCTGCTCACTCTCAGACTAGTGTTTCACATTCACCATTATAAACCCACATGAAATAAAACCATAATAAAGTAGAGGCAGGAAAACCTCAGTGGAATGCAGGGGCAGTGATCATGTTTTTTGTTGGGTTTTTGTGGTTTTTTTTTAAGATTTTATTTATTTATTTAGTGGAAGAACTGGGGTGTAAGCCAGAAGTGTGGGGGTGGTGAGAGGATTCACCAGAGACAGACTGGGGAGCAGAAAAGGAAGCTCCACTGACATACACTGCTGAGGGGAGCAGTGGGTGGGACAAGAGAGGTCTGATCAAACTCAGGCTATAGCAGTGACAGCACTGAGACTTAACCCCTAGGCCATCAGAAGGTCTAAGAATGGACTATTTTTTCTCACTTTACCCTTGCTCCACCCCCTGGTAGAAACCTAGGAATGACTGGGCTGGCCAGGAAGGTCGACAAGGCAGTGGAACACAGGGCATCTTGATGGCAAGCCCCCAGACCACACCTCCCACATCACCCTGTCAGCCCTCAGGCAACACGTGAGCTGGCCCACAGGCAGCAAGAGTGAGCCAGCGGCATCTCCAAGGCACACTCACCCTGCAGGGTCTAAGGATACTGCAGCACCAGAGAGCAGTGGATGGCTCTCAGGAGCTCTGCATGAGAGGATCCATTTGAATTCCTTGGGCCTCTCACCCTCACCCATTCGCTTGAGACGCTGCAGATTGAGCTGAAACACCCCACTCCCACAGGGCAAGTGTAGCTGCCCAGGGTCTTGTCTTGGAGAACTTCCTGGCACCCCAGATGCTAGCTCCCTAATACAGATACTGTGGAACGTGTCCTGGCCCCAGGAACCTTCCCCCTGTATGCAGGCATGGCAGCTGGATGCCAAGTCAGCCACACTGCGAGAGAGAATAGGGGGACGGGAGAGCAGCACCTGGAAATGAAGCAACTGAATAAAAGTGCTTGTCTACTTCTTCTTTATCTGTCTGTAAATACCAGACCTTGTCACCCGGCAAGAGAGCAGAGAGGAACTACAGTATAATTGGCTCCTCTCCCCAACTCCACCCACCTCCATTTGAGATGTAGGTCAAAGATCATGCTGGAGAAGATAAGGTCCTCATATTTCAAAGCTTACATACAGGTCCATGGACCACCTCTATCCCATCTCATCTACATCGTTAGAAACTGAGGCAGAGATAAATTTCTAGCTTGTTGACATACAAGTAGGTAGTGGCAAAGGTCCCCACTTTCCAGGCCTTTTCCTGACCAGCCCATCTAAATAAGCCAGTACTCTAATTTTCCTCATCACTACTTGACAGATCAGCTATTTTGTTTTAATCTTCTTGCTTTTTTGTAGCCTGCAACCCCCTGACAAGACTCAAAGCTCTGTGACATCACTGTGTCCCCAGCACAAGTCTGTTCTCAGACAGTCCTTCAAGTACCAAGCAGCAGAGGCAAAATACAGCTCCCCTGGTGTAGTTCTCAGGGCTTCTCTCTGTCTCTGAGCCTATGAGGCAGTGTGGCATTCCTGGTCCACTTCTGGCCCTCCTCCTGGTCCATGGTTCTATGGCAGATAGTAAATTCTCAGTGAAATCTGTAGAACCAGAGAAGGACCACACAGAACCCATAAAGCCTGATTCTAGGAGTCTTCCCCAGCATCTATGGGGCACAAACACAAATACACACACACTGTTGGGAGTCCTGAGATAGCACAGAGGTTGCAGAATCCCTCAAAAATAACATCTGGCTGGCACTCCTTTGTACTGGGGCCTCCCGAGCTGGTTAGTCTATTGAGGTTAGAGCTCCTGCTGAGAAATTATCTCCTGGATCCAAGGCCTTATTGATGTGCATGCTGGCTGTGAACAGGCCTCCTGGAGCCATCACCAGGCAGAAGAGGAAACAGGAAAAAAAGGGGCTGGTCAATCTTGGGACACTGGTGTCCCGCTGAGGGGATTGCAAGCAAAATCTGAGCAGCCACCAGGGAGGAAACACCAGCTCCAAAGTCCCCTCCCTTGCTATGGATGCTGGGCCTTTCATGTGGACACCTGCCTAAAGGCAGTGCATTGTCCCCAAAGTCCACTGGCCTTGTGAATGGTGGTAGTGAATGGAAAGTTCTGAAAAGACTGTAGCAGTCCAAGTGGGCTCCCTAGAGCCGGAGCAAGTTCTGTGTGCATTGCGAGTCCGGATATGGAGCTTGCCAAAATGCCTTCAGGAAACAGCCTGGCCACTGCCTGCAGCCCAGTCCTTCCTAGGGATTCACAGGCTCTGCTACTTCCTTGGTAGGCAGAGTTAGAGGGAACAGGGTTTCATCTGTGATTTACTCGAATCTTGCAAAAAAAAAGGTGGGGGACAGGAATTTAGAATTTAGAATTTAGATTGAATTACTAGCCTTAATCTCTCACCCCCTGTGATAGAATTATCCATCCAGAGCTTTGTCATGTCTCATAGGAACTTACTTTCCTACCCCTTCAATTTCGGCTTCATCCTATGACTTGTTTTGGTCCATGGGACTCAGCAAACTTTATGTAAGCAGAGACTTGCAAAGCGCTTGCTTGGTCAACTCGACGTTTGCGCTTCTTCAGCCTATATCCCAGCACATATGAAGAGCAGCCCTGAGCCCAGCCTACGCTACCACATGGAGCCAAACCATTCAGCCCAGGCCGGGTCAGCTGACCCCTGAGAATAATGCTTGTGGTCGTAAACCACTGAGATTTTAGGTAGTTTGTTATGTGGCATTAACTATAGCAATAGCCACCTGAGACAGAAACTGAAACCCAGGCATGGTATATGACCAGATCCAGAATTTCTAAAAGTTCATCCTTCCTCCTCCTGCAGCTTGTTTAAAAGCACTTGAAGGGAGGTGGCTCATGAAAGAGTAAGGCTGACATCACAGATGAAACCCTGTTCCCTCTAACTCTGCCTACCAAGGAAGTAAGAGTAAGGCTGACAGCACCGTGATCTACCCTCCTGCTTTAGATAGCTAGACACTAGGTAAAAGGTGGCTGTTTTCAGACATTGGATATGACAGTAACAGGACATAGACTTCAAAAGAAGAGAAACAAATGAGCCCTAAGATTGCCCAACTTACTGCCTGCCAAATGTTCAAGCTGAAGTTCTGGAAGCAGAAACCAAGGTGCCTAGCAGTTTCCTTGGGTTGAGGAATTGGAGCTGGGGGTCCAAGGAGGTTAAAGTGGCTTAGATTTGCAAGGCAGAGTACCAGGAATGAGTGGGCTGCAGGCATGGAGGGAGGAAATGTAGGGGGTTGGTGGGGTGGAAAGTAGAGAAAGGGGATGGAGGAAGGGGAGAAGAGCCACCTTCTGGAGCTCTGTAGAAGGCACTCTTGAATCTTCAGCCAACTGTTGATTAACACACACGTGTGAGGAAGTCACCCAAGGTTGGGGAAAGAACCACCAGAAAGGAGCATGCAGAATGATGTCTGGAGATAGCACAGGCTTGGGAATAGTTCACAGGCTCAGCAGCCAGATGGAGAAACCCCCTCACAAGAGTTGTGGGAAACACAGTAAGCATTGCCTCAGAAGTGAGGCCAAGCCAGCCCTAGACAAGGACTTCTCTGCTCCTGCCTGAAAAGCTTACCAAGCAAGTCTCGAAGGAATCCAGCAACTTCAAGTAGGATTCCAAGAAAGTTCACCAAGTCCCAGAACAAAGCTCAAAAATGCATAAATGAACACATTTAAAAAAAAGAAAAATCAGCACCCAACAATGTGGAATTCACCGTGTCTGGCATTCAGGAGGAAAAAAAAAAAACCACACATACACCATGCAAAGAAGCAGAAAAATATGGCCCAGAGGAGAAAAACCAGTCAATAGCAATAGAAACTGACTCAGGAATGACCCAGATGATAGATAAACTAGACAAGGACATTCCTTAAACGCTCTGGATGTGTGTTTAAAATACAGGCACAAAGATGCCCCTGGGATTCCATAAGTGTAAATGCTACTCATTCATCAGTCAGCTCATTCTTTTGACAGTGACATGCCATCCATTGTGCTAAGTTCTGATGGGTCAGTGGTAACCAAGACAAATTTCCTGCCCTTGGGGAACTTACATGGCAATTAGGGACAAGCTGAAGTTCTGGCAGAGAACAATAAGCAAGACAATCTGAATGAAAGAGCTAGGGGTGGAAGAGGTTGAGCCTGGGACCCTTCCCAGATGGGTATGAGTGTGGAGCTGGGTGGGCTATAGAGAGCAAGAGGGAGGCATAGGACCAGCATGGTAGGTTCAGCAGTGGGGCTGAGCAGTTGAAAAGAAACACAGAACGTGAGCAGTAGGGGATTTCTTGGAATCTGGGCCTTGCAAGAATAAGGGATCCAGAGTTTTCCATGGCATGTATGCAGGGTTTGCCAGAACTCTAGACAGAGGAGGTGTGAAAGGCAGGCTGTGAAAAGTAGAAAGTTACCAGTGTGTATGTGAAATGAGAAGCTCTGGGTAGGAGAAGTGGCCTCTGGGTATGAGCCTAGATGCTTCATTCAGCAAGGAGGAGGTGGGTTAATTTTAATGCTGACTGTTTCATTTGGGGTTTGAATGGCCCAGGGCCAACCCACAGGGCTGAACCAATTTTACACTCGTTGAGAGTAAACTCAGAACAAAGAACAGGCAGGAAACTAGTTAAGTGCTCCTTCTCAGTTCACTCAACTCAGTGTCTCCAGAAGGCCAGCCTTCCTTCCCCAGCCCCATCCCTCTCTAGTCCCAGGTGCAAGACACTATTGTCATTATTCATGATTGTCACTTTGGAATATCTTTTGGGTTGTGTCTTTTCCTCCACTGTCCTTTGACCTAGGTGAAATCCGTTCAGCTGCGGCTAAAGGACATTTGAAGTTCCTGAAGGTTTTAAGCCTCCTTCAGTGCTGGGACTTGCCATCTTAGGGGTGGGGGGATTCTTGTAATCAAGCACTCTAGGCTGGTAAAAATGAGAATCCCCCTTCCTCAGACTACTAACATGGAGCTTCCCTACAACCCAGCAATCCCACTCCTAGGTATCTCCCAAAAGACACAAAAACACTGATTCAAAAAGATACCTGCACCCCCACATTTATTGCTTCTTTAT